TGCTCCAGTATGCGCTGATCCACCTCTTCGGCTACAACGTCAGCATTGACGACCTGAAGAACTTCCGTGTACGCATTCAAGATAATTCTACTGCCTGTCAAAACTAATTTCGCTGCAGCAAGTCGACAGCATCACACCCGGTCACCCCGAGTCCCACGACACCCCCGGTATCGAGGTCACCACTGGCCCTCTTGGTCAGGGTTTCGCCAATGCCGTCGGTCTCGCTATTGCTGAGAAGCACACCGCCGCCGTCTTCAACAAGCCCGGCTACGAGCTGATCAACAACCACGTCTACATGTTCTTCGGTGATGGTTGCGCTATGGAGGGTATTGCCAGCGAGGCTGCCTCCACTGCCGGTCACTTGAAGCTCGGAAACCTCATTGCCATTTACGATGACAACCACATCTCCATTGGTAAGTTTGGCAGAGAGTTCGAAAGGAAAAACGGGGACTGACGTCATACAGACGGTGACACCAAGTGCGCCTTCACTGAGGATGTCATGAAGCGATTCGAGTCCTACGGATGGCACGTACTGCACGTCGAGGACGGTGACTCCGACCTCGAGGGCATTGAGAAGGCCATCGCTGAGGCCAAGAAGGTCACCGACAAGCCTTCGATGATCAAGCTCACTACCACCATCGGTTTCGGTTCCAAGCTCCAGGGTACCGGCGGTGTCCACGGAAACCCCCTCAAGGCCGACGACTGCAAGCAGGTCAAGGAGAAGTTCGGTTTCGACCCCGAGAAGATGTTCGCTGTTCCCCAAGAGGTTTACGACATGTACCACAAGCACGCCGCCGAGGGTGCTGCTGCTGAGGAGGAGTGGAACAAGCTCTTCCAGAAGTACGGCGAGGAGCACAAGGAGCTTCACGCCGATCTCTCTCGCCGTCTGACCGGCGACCTCCCCGAAGGCTGGCAGAAGGCCCTCCCCACATACAAGCCCACCGACGCCGCTATTGCCTCAAGAAAGCTCTCTGAGAGCGTCCTCGAGGCGATCCACGATGTCGTCCCTGAGCTTCTGTCCGGTTCCGCCGATCTGACTGGCTCCAACAACACCCGATGGAAGAAGGCCGTCGACTTCCAGCCCCCTGAGCTCGGCATTGGTGAGTGGTCTGGCCGATACCTGAGATATGGTGTCCGCGAGCACGCCATGGCCGCCATCATGAACGGTATGTCCGCATACGGCACCATCATCCCTGCCGGTGGTACTTTCCTGAACTTCGTTTCATACGCCGCCGGTGCCGTCCGTCTGTCCTCTCTCTCACACCAGCGCGTCATCTACGTCGCTACCCACGACTCCATTGGTCTTGGTGAGGACGGCCCCACCCACCAGCCTATCGAGACTCTCGCCCACTTCCGCGCTCTGCCCAACATGATGGTCTGGCGCCCGGCCGACGGAAACGAGTGCTCTGCTGCTTATTACATGGCTCTTACCTCCAAGGGTACGCCATCCATCCTTGCCCTCACCCGTCAGAACCTGCCCCAGCTCGAGGGATCAACTCTCGAGAAGGCCATCAAGGGTGGTTACGTCGCTCTTGAGGACAAGGACGCCCAGATCACCCTCGTGTCCACTGGTTCCGAGGTCTCTCTCTGCTTGGAAGCCGTCAAGACCCTCAAGGACCAGGGTATCACCGCTCGTGTTGCTTCCCTGCCTTGCTTCGAGGTCTTCGACGCGCAAGACAAGGACTACAAGATGTCGGTCATCCCCGGCGGTATCCCATCGCTCAGTGTTGAGGTCATGTCCACCATGGGCTGGGAGAAATACTCTCACGAGCAATTCGGTCTCAACCGCTTCGGTGCCTCCGGACCATACAAGGAGGTCTACGCCAAGTTCGAGTTCACCCCCGAGGGCATTGCCAAGCGTGCTAAGGCTACCATTGACTTCTACAAGGAGGTCAAGCCTCTCCGATCTCCTCTCGACCGTGCGTTCCAGCAGCTTATCTAAGCGTTTGCGTAGCGTAGGATCTGCTTTCTGGAAGTATTTGAGGTTTTGGAGCATCGTCTCTGGCTTTTAATGAGTGATGATATATAAGAAGCGGCAGCCCGCTTCATGGAGGAGAAGGGAAAGTCATAACCCGAATGTATAGAATTTGATTCCCCCTTTGACCAAAGATCTTGTAACCATGTGAACGGAAAGCTGCCTGTGAGTGCGAATAGGAGTGAGCCCAAATTGAGTTTCGCGTTGACATATAATCATCCTCTCCAATCTAGCTTTCTAACTGTACTAACAGATAAAAACATCAACATCAAATGTCGTTGTGTATCATCGGTGATCTTAACAAGCTTCAGTACTTTTGATTCTGTTACGATAATATTGCTGCTAGTATTGTCCAAACACGGAAGAGTATCTGGAGACATTTGGTTGGGAGGTGTTGATGAGGGTCTCGCGTGAGATGGGCGGGGCGGTGGCTGCAACGACGTCGGCGGGCTCTCCTCCGAGGCCGCCGCATCATCAACTTTTTGCGACATCATCGCCAGCATCACCACGCATAACCATGATGTCTCGACCCGACGATGATAACGCTTCCGCTAGAAGTATCAGAAGACAGCCATCGTCGCGCAGCCTATTCTCTGTCCCTACTCCGATAAAGCAGCTGTTCGACCAATTCCCGCTCATCACGTATCCCGTCAACGACTTCCCACAACGCGCACCACAACATCACGACACCCATGTACTCTATGTATTCACTACAGATGGAGGAGCAATTCGAGGCGCACCATCGCATAACCCAGCGTGTTTGAAGTGGCAGGTCAGTCCATGTTAATGGATGCCCATACCCCACCACCAAGCTCACATTGTCGCAGGCGTACCTCAAGTTTTCGAAAATCCCCTTCAGAGTCGCCTCAGCAAACAACCATGCCTCTCCCAGCGGCTCGCTACCCTTTGTAATACCTTCCTCGTCAGATCCTTACAAGCGAACACAGCCTGTTCCCTCGAACAAACTGCAACGATGGGCCATGAACAACAGTGAGAAGGCAATAGAAGAGCCTGGAGATCCGCGCTACGAAGCATACCTGAGTCTGCTAGACCATCGGATACGGAGAGCTTGGGTAAGTTAATCACCAGGAAGACTTGGCTCATGGCTAACATATTCCAGCTCTACACTGTCTACCTCTCTCCCAACTTCACCACTATCGCCGAGCCCCTCTACATCCTCACAAGTTCCCGCAATCCCTTCGTACGTCTCACGATATCCCGCGAACTACGTCTGGCCGCTGAGACCGAACTGCTCAAATTCTCGAGCATAATAAACGACGAGACGCTATACAACCAGGCAGACGAGGCACTCGCAACATTAGAGACACTGCTGGGTAAAGACGACTGGTTCTTCGGCGCGCAAAGACCGGGCTTGTTCGATGCTAGTGTCTTTGCGTATACACATCTGCTATTGGATGAGCAATTGGGCAAGGGTTGGGTGGACACGCGTTTGCGCGACGCGCTAACGACGCGCACACGCCTGGTCACGCATCGCGACCGGATACTTGCTAGATACTTTGAAGATGGGTCTTGAGTGTAGGATGATACCCGGGAGCAGTAATGGAGTGAACGCTGTACGAATCTCTCATCGAAGTCCAGCCATGAACATCACGAAACAGCGACTACGCGCTTGCGCGAGGTCTACCTCTCATCAGCTCTGTTCGTGCCAGCTTGGAAGGACCGAACGCATGTTGAGTGAAGTTCGGACGTGGCGGACGCCGGGGGCAGGTTAGCGCGACCCAGAACCCAGCAGATGCAGATGTGACTCACGCTACGGAGAGCTGCACGACATATCGCCTAATTGGGTAATGCTGGATACATACTGGGCGTGAGAGGGCGTTCAGAAGAGTCATTGGCTGGAGCAGGTTGGCATATAAGACTTCTTCAGGCACCGAGCAGGAAAAGCATCAATCCTCAGGAACTTTACCCCACTTCAGATCTGCAGTAACTGTTCGTCATCTGTGTCCAGGCCCAGCCAACCAACCACCATCTACAATCAGCAACCTATCTTCCATTCCACATTCGAGAGCACCATTATCAACATGACACAGCCAACATCCATCGACATGACCTTTGACACGTCCCTGGTTGACGTCAACGCAGCCGCCAATGCCTCTTTCTCGACCACTGAATCGGACTCAACTGCGGACGGCCAACAAACGGCAAAGCGTACCCAAACCTTACAACCGACCACGGCTCCACAAAAGCCTTCAACTCCAGTCCAGCACATTCCGACTCAAGCCGCCTACGACCAATGGGCTGCCATCTACGACACCGATGGCAACATGTTGCAAGCGATTGACGATCTAGAGCTCCAGGCCCTCCTTCCAGAGTTCTTATCCCAAGTCAAGAACAGCACTGCAACAGAACAAGAGCTCCTTGTACTGGATCTAGGATGTGGTACCGGACGTAACACGGAAAAACTTGTGCGATACGATTGGAACGGGAAGAGCGTTAAGGTCACTGGTCTGGACTTCTCACAGGGCATGTTGGATGTCGCTGCGAAGAAGCTGTCGCCCCTGTTGAAGGAGAAGGACCAGCAAGGGGTGAGGTCAAGACTAGAGTGCTGCGACTGCTTCCCTACTGTCGACAACCCATCAGTCTCTCCGCTACCTGCGGTATCAAGCCTGCGACCCGTCCATGCCGTCACATCCACTCTAGTCCTGGAGCACATCCCACTGAAGGATTACTTCGCCACCCTAGCCGCATTGCTCTTACCTGGTGGCACGGCCTTGGTTACAAACATGCACGCGGACATGGGACGCGTCAGTCAAGCTGGGTTTGTTAATGCAGACGGTGTCAAGGTTAGGGGAAGCAGTTATGTCTACACAGTGGAAGAGACTGCCGCGGCAGCCAAGACTGCGGGGCTTGAAGTAGTTAGTGTTAACGAGCGGGAGATGAGAAAGGGGGACGTTGAGGGTGGTGCTGTGGGAGAGAGAGGTTGGAAGTGGGTCGGCACAAATGTTTGGTTCGGAATGGTCTTCAGGAAGATGTCGTAAGCTTTGTAACAGCAAAATTCGTAATATCATGAAGCGTGGTAGCTAGGAGGCATCTTCTCCTCGTCGTGCCCTCGCATACTTCCATCCAGGTTCTGCGTCGAAGTTTTTGATCCACTTCTCCGCAGCTCTACAAGGTGCACTTCGTCTTCCGCCTTTCCAATACCCTCTAGCGTATCGTCTACCGTCCTCGCCATCGTAGTGTTGAACAAGCTTGCATCCAGCATGCTTCTGCTCGGCTTGCCCCTCTTCTTCGATGGCCGATTGGGAGTGTCGTCGTCTTCGTTTGGGTCGGAGTTGTTTTGCGTCGAGCCAAAGCACTTGGGTACCAGCTGAGCGAGGAATCTTCGGAAGGCTGGCATGGATACGCATATTATGCCGACGTTGATTTCGAGGATGGAGTATACGCCGGACATGAGGTTGTCGTACATGGGATTCGTTGATGTGGCGTATTTGGCGACGGCGCTGAGGCGGATGCAGGAAACTATGATGGTACTGAAGTATTCTTGTCAGCATGCGACGATATCATGTTGAGGGGTTATATTGACTTACATGCCACCGACGCCAAAGATCGCGCTGAGGAAGACCTTTTTACGCGAACTGAGCTTCAGCGTCATCAGGTTCGGGATTGGTATCAGGACGATGGCGACGTCCAGACCGATGTTGAACGCCGCGGCTACTAGGTAGAACAGATTCTGGTTTATACAATAGTCCGGCGTGCTCGTCCCGTCCCAAGAAGTCCATACTGCTGAGATAGGTCTGCAGGCAAAGGTCATGGTGAATGCGAATGCGATTGTCCATAGCACGGATATGACGATAGACACCCAGATCCATTTTCGGGTCGTCTCCGAGGGAAAGATCCGGAGAAAGAAGAACAGGAACGCGAGCTTGGTGAGTCCACAGCAAAGGAAGTAGGATATTTGGGAGCCGTAGGTCAGCTGTTGAGCAGTCAATAGCCATCCACACATTGAGCATCGCGTGCTTACCCTCAAAACCTTGTAGATATCGCTATGGGGAACTACCCAAGTGTCTTTCCCGAAACCAAGCTTTGGCGTGTAACATTGTATCACCGTCACGGGGAGACAAGCTACTTCGGCTGCTATTGCAAAGACATCATCTAGCCCGAACGAGTTCTGGCTGATTGCGGACCACGTGCGGACGGTGACGGCGGCGAGAGCAACGGAGCCCGCTGTGATACCCGTCAAGAATATGACGTTGGATCGGTCGCGAACAGGCCTCTCGCACATGGTGGAAGTGATATTGACAGCAGCTGTTGTTCGCATCAAGTCAGCGCGGTTGATGTGAAGTCTGGTGGTAAATCTTACTGAGAGACTCTTTGACTGAACATGCGCCACCCACACAGGTCTGGATGGCCGCGTTTATGGACTCACTGTCACAGATACATTGCACATCAGTGGGTGCGCATGTCCTCTGGGCAGTGACAGCATTCTGGAAGCATTTTGCCTAGTACTGTCAGTGATTTACTCTCATAGAAGTAAACGAGGAACCAGGACTTACTGCGCATGGCGGTAGCATGTTCAAGCCATCTTGTGCTAGAGCTGTATGCACAACGCTATTCAATGTTGTGAGCCCTATGACGAGCACCTCGTTCCACCGCATGCTGAGTAGTATGAAAGACCCGAGAAGGTGAGCCACAAATATGACGAGCTGTCGATCCTCGTTCAATGATCATTGATACATATAGTATACGATGGTGGTGAAAAAGCAGAGGAAAGGCAGCCATGGCCAGATGCCATCCCGAATCTTGGGTATCGTCAGCACGTTTCCGTACATCCTTACCAGTACCCCGGTATTCGATATCCCAGTTGATATTCAGGAGAATTTGTTTCTGCTTGACCTGCGTAGGATTCGAGGCGAACTCTACCGAGCAGGCTGCATGACAGACGTGCCGTCCCAGGCGGCTCGGCACCCGGGGACTACCGAAACGGTTAATGGGATCAGAAACCTAGCTGAATTGAGTCCTCGCCGAAGTACATATCGATGCGGAAGTTGTTTTGTGAAGATGTAGTAAGCCGCATAGTGAGTAATCCGATCAATTCTTAGAATGCGTGGCTACGCCAGTGTACAAAGGCCCGAATGCCTACTACACGGCGTTGCCCTCACGACCATAGTATTCCTGATGGCCTGGGAAAAAAGATGGAGAGGCGTTCAAGGTTGTGCATCCATCATCGCGGTTTCAGATCCTATTGGCTCCCCGCGGAAGTCCAGATATCCACACAACGTCAAATTGATAGTCTAGACGTTATTGCAAGCTAAGAAGCGGCTCTTAGGCTTGCGCTTTTGTAGACTATAGTCTCATGCCTCGTGATTATGCGTCTCTGGCGTAATTGAGGCGGCGTTGGGGGACGGTGGGTGTGTGGAGGGCTGGCTTCGCTTCGCTTCGTGGCAGCGTGAGGAGATTGTAGACAAACACACGAGTAAGCTGCGTCAATAGTCGACAGTAGAGTTAGAGAGATCACAAGTCATGCAAAACTCTGGAGGCGGCAGGCGGGATAGGCGACACGGGACGGCGGCTGAGCCTGCTATGAACAGGGTGTTGCGATTAGGGTGTTGCCGTGGACCCCCATTCGGCCATTCCGAGCGCGGCAGCATCCTTCCGACTCCCCGCCACATGGCAATGAGAAAAAGCGATGCTGGGAAGTCTGGACACACCAAATTGAACAACGAATAGTTCGCGGGTATCACAAGCGATTCTGGTTCAGCTGGCGAAGCTGAGAATAACATGAGTTTGCTTTTGCGACTCGTGCAAAGCGCACACCATGGCCAGAACGCGAGGGTCTGCGGTACGCCCCGGCACTTGCAGCGTGCCCACAGTAGAGAGACCCGCATTTCGGCATCGTCTCTCCTTTCAGTATACTGGAACGGCCTGTTCGAGTCGCAATTCGCTATCGGGGGCCTGAAAGGGTTGGCTGCAGTGTGCTGCAGTTAGCGATGAGCGCGACGATGGAAGATAATCTAGTCTGTCCCCTCCACGATCGTTCGTGTAGTACTTCTGTCCTTCAACATCAGGACATGCGACATGACGCTTCTATCTGATGTTTTGCTGGGTGCGCATCTTCGATCCGTTCTCTTGGTCTACCTTCCTGCATCTTTTGTCGCATACTATGTCATCTGGACCGTCTATACTCGAACCCTCCACCCGCTAGCCAAGGTTCCCGGACCATTCTGGGCATCAGTATCACGAACATGGCTTATGTGGCACCATCACAAAGGCGACATTGAGATTGTCGAGCGCGTTCTTCACCAGAAGTACGGCCCCATCATTCGGATCGCACCCGATGAGGTAGTGACGACCGACACCACGGCCATTCCACACATCTACCCGGTTCAAAAAGCTCTAACAAAGACGGATTGGTACAACCCATGGCGACCATCAGGACTAAACAGCCAGCCGGACTTATTCACGCAGACCAACGAGAAAGCGCACGCAGCGTATCGAAGGATTGTTGGAGGTGTCTATTCCCTTTCCAGCATACTGAAGAATGAACCGAATCTGGATGCGACCTTGGAACTCTTTCTTGAACGGTTGGGTAGCTTCGCCGATAGCAACGAAGTATTTGACTTCGGTCTTTGGCTCGAGATGTAAGTTACAAATTAGCTTTCATTGATTTCACATTTTAACTTGCGGACTAGGTACTCGTTTGACAGCGTGGGTGTCGCCTTCTTCGGTCAAGCCTTTGGTTTTCTCAAGGACAGCATCGATTACAACAACTACATCCACTCGGTCCATCTTGCAATGCCATTTCTTACCCTTCTGACAGTCACTCCGTACTACATACGACCGTTTCTGCTTCTGGTCGCTGTGTGCATCCCGAGTTTACTGAAGGCTGTGCTGGCTGTGGAGGATATCAAGAAGACTGCGATTATAGAGACAAAGACAGCTACCGAGAGAAGCCTTGAAGTGACGGGAAAGCGACCCGACTTACTTTCTCAGCTTCTGGCGATTGTGCAAGAAAAGGGAGAGAAAGTAAACTACTCGCACAGAGAGATCACTTCGGACATGTGGGTTGCAATGTATGTGTACTGACAGAACAGCTACCCTGGAGTAACATGCTGACTGTTACTAGCATGGCTGGAGCTGATAGCACGTCCATCGCAATGCGCTCCATTTTCTACTTCTTGATGAAGAACCCCGAGAAATTGGAAAAGGCGCGCGCAGAAGTCGATGCGGCCTTTGAGAACGGTACCCTCTCATCACCAGTACAGTACAGTCAGGTATCTTCTCTTCCATACCTCGTAGCGACTGTAAAGGAAGCCCTGAGATTATTCTCTCCATTCTCGGTATCGATGCCTCGATATGCTCCAAGCGAAGGAATCACTCTGTGTGGGAAATACATCCCAGCAGGCTACACAGTTGGAATGAACCCTTCGATCGTTTCGCACGACAAAGACGTATTTGGAAAAGATGCGCTAGACTTTGTTCCCGAGCGATGGCTGCAGAGTGAAGATCGGACGCGGGCGATGGACAAGACAATCCTAGGTTGGGGTGCTGGAACAAGGACATGCGTTGGAAGGCCTGTGGGTATACCATGATCGCATAGGAGAAAAGTACTGACAATAGACAGCTCGCTTTGACACAGATTTACAAGATAACTACCGAGGTACTGCATCGGTTCGACTTTGAGATGGCACATGACAAGCCGTGGAAGACACACAATGCTTCTTTCAACGTCCAGACTGGGGTTGAGTGCAGATTCAAGCGAAGAGGTTCGACCACACCTTAGTCGCTCAGAGATAGTCAGTATTGCGGTTACATAGGCAAAACCGTCGCAGTCTAGAGTATAGGCGATATCGGAGACGCTTAGTCATCGCCGCAGCCGAAACGTACATTCAGAAGTTGTATGCAGTGTACTGAGATTTACATGTGGTGTGCGTTAGACCTTGAAAGACCGCCTTTAGCAGCTTTTAGTGTTGTGTTGCTCCAAAGAAAATCCAGGCCTCCCTATGGTTGCCAAAATCAATAAGATTATTATGTTACAGAAGACGCCGATAGCGACCTAGTTCAAGATGCAGTGTCTTCGTCGGCCGGCTTTTGCTTCCCCAAGAAGAGATCTCGGGGTGCAGGGTCCGGTGTTTTACCCAATCAAAAGTCATCATGACGTCAACCTCTGTTCATGGTCCCATGTGCATTCTCAAAACTTCGCCATTTGAGACGCCGATAACTGTTCCCAAACGGCGATTATCATCGGCGACTTCGACAAGCAACTGAGATTAAAAGCAAGGATAGAGTTCATATATCCGAGGTCTTACCAGTAGCACCATCAGTCAACACTGAGAATCCAAATCACCCAAAACACAACACAACATGGACGCGCTTCCCGTGAACAACAACGCGGCCGGTGAGCCTGAGAGTGCATACAACAACACACTTGAAACCGGTGCTGGTATGACTCAGGTAAGCATAGTTCCGCTCGTGTAGTGACTACGCTAACCAATTGTACAGAACTTCGCGCCAGTCAAGAGGATATGCGCTCACCTCAACGCCTTCCACGCATACGCTCACGACCCCAAGCGCGATGCAGTCGAAGCAAACCACTACTGCGCGCACCTGAACGACGAAGTACGCCAATGCATCCTCTACGACTCTCCCGAGAAAGGCGCGCGGATTATCGGCATCGGTAAGCATCCTACTTCCTCAACCGCAAGACTTCATACTAAACCAACCCCAGAGTACATGATCTCTCCCAAACTCTACTCAACCCTCGACGCCGAAGAGCAAAAGCTCTGGCACTCCCACGTCTTCGAAGTAAAGTCCGGGATGCTAATCATGCCGCGTCCAACCGGCGTACCAGAAGCCGCATGGGAAATAGCCGAGAACAAAGAGATGGAGGAAGTTGTCGAGCTTTACGGCAAGATCTACCATCTCTGGCAGACTGACCGTGGCGACAAACTGCCGCTTGGACCACCGCAGCTGATGACGAGTTATACGGCGGCGGATCAGATGCCAGATTTCGAGAAGAGGTTGAAGGAGAGGGATCAGCGGTTCGATAGCGATTATCAGAGGAAGAAGGGGGTGAGGGAGTATATTGAGGTGCCGAAGATTCATGAGAATGCTGATGCGACGTGGGCTAAGGGAGGTGTTGGTCATTAGATGGGGATCTTTGGAGGGACTCGTGTTACTGGCGAGGCATTCGTGAGGAGGTGGCGATGCATGGGTGAGGGTTTGGTAAGATGCGAAACAGGTGTTAGCACGGATGAGCCAGAGATGTTTTCGATGATAAGATCA